GATCGGTTAAACGTTTCGTCATCATCAGAAGCCACAATTAATCCTGTCCAAGCTGCCACCACCCCCTCCCCACGATCCCACAATGCCACAATCCACCCAGCACCTGCACATGAACGGATGTCATATCTCAGACCGTTTTTAAAACAAATGTTATTAATTATTTGTTATTGGCCCAAATTGACGCTGAAACTCTAACGACAACTGGGCTGGCTCCCTGGGGGTCGCGATCCACAGACTGAAATGTTTTGCTGCATTGTGCCAGTGTAATAGCGCCTGCCTCTTTTATTATAAAAGCCCGGCGTTCCGCTCGTCCGTCAACTAAATGATAAGGAGCCTTTCAGAAGGCTCCTTATCATTTGGTTGTAGAAGAAGAGGACATCAGTGGGGGGCGACGGGCGAGGCGCCGAAGCTTCCAGAAGCCCTTTGCAGGAGCTCAAATGAGGCAGTCGTAGGCTGTCGAAATTCCAGTTAATAAAAAAGGCCTCCTGCAAACTGTTACCGACAGGAGGAAGTGCAACAATTACTGTGCATTTGTGTCAGGGTGGCTGGAAGTTGACTCTTTGTTCCCTCCTATGCGTGGGCTCTTGTCTCAGCAACTAAAGTTTCCGACTTGGGCATGGCACGAGGTGGGACGTTTATCCCACTACTCTTAGGGGCTTCGATAAATTGTCTCACTCTGTGCTGTTGGAACCTTGGTATTTATAATCTTGTAAAAAAAACAGATGCAAAGGCCGTCGCAATTGCCAATGTTTGTTTGTTGTTAACCTTTCACCTGGAAATTTGCGTTGTCTCCAGCGTTACCTATCCGATGAACCATTTACAATATCCCCCTGATTTGTGAATCCTACAATGTATAGGTGTGCACCTGTCGAAGGGGCGTTACGTCGCTACCTGAACGCCGTACGACCTAATTGAGTGGCGAGAGGGGTGGGGGGTCAGGTGAGTTGATGACCGGCGAGTGGGTAGCGATTCGTTATAGAGGTTTTTTGGGGTTAGATCGCGTAAATATATAAATGTGTCGTTAAACCCGCCACCATCCGACACGTAAACAGAACATGGCAATTTCGTTACTAGTACAGCACGCCGGTGTGTTGGAGAGCCAAGCCACAAACAACATTTACAATCTGGAATACGACGTTTCGCCAGTAACACACCAGTGTGCTGTACTAGTAAGGAATCGGTAAGTTCTGTTTACGTGACAAACCTTACTCATTGGCTGTATCAGGTGGTAGCGGGTTTAACGACACATTTTTATTTATTTACGTGATCTAACCCCCCCCAAAAAAACCTGTATTAGAGATATCTGTGGTTACTCGTGCTTCCGAGTCGTTCTCTCTCGACGAGAGTCAGTAAATCCTGTGCATCATATCACAAGTTCAAATAATATTTTAAACATTTATATATTTACGCGATCTTACCCAGAAAAACCGCATTATGGATGATATTGGTGTCTAAAGCCTACCACGTGTTAAACTGGGTGGCGATTGTGGGCGAGTGGTGGATTTCATGACGTCACCCCCCCCCCCCAGCTGCCCCACTCATCACTGCGTTAGGGAGTTTAGAGTATTTGCCTGCTGCTATAACAATGCCCACGTGATGATGATGACGATAAGCCACTTCGTTGAGCTATCATTTGTGGCAGCCAGACCGCTTCTGAAGAAGAGCGACACGTCAGCTCAGTGGTTGGGGGCCTTTACCTGGCAGCATAGAAAAAAAATGATTCGTTAGTTTTAGACAACAACAAAAAAAACCCCACGCGCGCACGTACCAGCTCTGTTATCCCCCGAAGCGCACAGACACCTGGGGGAGCCAGGTGCGGGCGAGGCGACGTCACGGCCCCGTGCACCTGACGTGAGCGGCGTGACAGCACGAGGCCCCCTCCCCCACCACCACCTCCACCAACCCCGCCGTGTCTCAGCCCGATCTACAATCGGCTGTGGGTGCACTTGTGGGCACGCTCCCCTCTGAGATTGGGGGCTCCTTTCTGATCTCTCCTCCGAGCTGGCGCGACCATCAAAAGCACTCAGTCGGGTAATGTCCTTTCCCCCCCCCCCCGTTTTTAAACGCTAATAATGTTTCTTCTCATTCATCTAAATAAGATTTGTTTTTCATGAATGTATACTTTGACAGAAGGTGGTGGGTGGAAATGATCATTATTATGGGGTCTGTGCATTGCTGAGAATTGATGTATAACTCTGCGGGAGATGACAGAGGATTGTGTGGTTCAGTTGTGGAAGTGATGTGCTCAGCATTGATTAGTACAAAATAGAAAGCAGATGGAAACAAATACATCGATGTTACATCAGTAATATATTTAGTTCACCAGTTTGCTTTAATCAGTGTCGGATTACCCTAGTAGCAAAAGTAGCTACATATGCTACGGGCCCCGCACTTTCAAGGGCCTCGCGCTAAATACTTTCAAGCTATCAATTCCGGTTCAGTGATTCTGTACTTGCTCTTTTACCATAGTACTATACTGCCTTAAACTTTTATGAACGACTGGGTGTTTAAGGTTAGCGATTTGTCGTATTATCTGGCTGTATAGCAAATGAAAACATACAATTGCTTTCCGATGTAAGTTAAAAATGTGTGTTTTAATATTTACGTGTGTTTTTTTTATGTAGAGCCCCTTTATAACATATGCTCCAGGCCCCGCACTAGCTTAATCCGACACTGGCTTCAATCAGTACCGATGTGAAAGCATAAAACATAAAATGAAAGGCGAATGTAGCTTTTATTCTGATTGCCAAGATGTTAAAGTGGAATGGCGAAACGTTGCCGCCTGAATCTCGCCCTCTCGCATTTCCACGCGTTACCGCTTTGCTTTTACAAGTAATGTAAATGCCTTCTAATTGACGCTTCCACAGACAGTTTGAGATTTCTTAACGGAGAAACGTGCAGTGAAAAGCGTTGCCTAGGTTATCAATGCCTCGGCGTAAATACTCATAATAATATATAACAAATTATCATATTACGGCATTACGTTCACTGACATCAAATTATGTGCAAAAGTTGCTATTCATGGTAATGACAACTTCCATTTGGCATTTGCAAAAACTACGGCACATTTCAGCAGAGCTGAATGGCCACAGTTCAATAAAAGCTGCACTATCTTTTATAAAAATGTGGAGTATTCCAGCAATGAAAGTCTATTATTTGTTTGAGTCGTTGACGCTTAAATTACTGCACGTTGAGTTTGTGAAACAGATTTTGGAATAATGGGCAGTATTGAGGCATCATGTATGTTAATGCCATGTTATTAAGCAGCCATCAATTAGTTTTTTACTCTCCAGCAAATGTCCACATTGTGAAAAGTACCGCGAGGTGATCTCGTTCCGATGTAAAGTCGCAGTGATAAATTATGTGTACTACGTCGACAACAGGAGCAACGCGAGTGACCGAAGAAACATAAATATATCCACAACTAGCCTCATGACTCATCAACTTGCGTACGCACCGACCGACAACGGCAGATAGGCAGATGTCACCTTCCCACCAGTGTGTGTATCAGTACTATTTTACAGAATTTCCGATGCAATGCTGTTTACCAGTCATATCGCGCGCTTTTAGATGTGCTTCTGCGGCCGTCTGGAATGTACATCCTGCTGATATTAGGAAGCCACTGAAGCTATGCACTTATACATCATCTCGATTGAAAACTAATATATTTAGAACTGCTTTTTGTCCTTCCCGTGCAGCTCTGATTAGCACGGTTGCCTAGGTACGGTGCAAAACAAGTTCAACATGCAAACATAGATTTATAAAAACAAATTAAATAGCAAACACTGTAAAAACAAGCACATCCATCCGCCACAACGAGGCCAACGTAGGCTGCTTAATTCGTAATATTTTGCCCTTCCCAAAAAGCAAATGACCCGATTTATTTTTCCAGTTGTATGCGTTACACCTCGCCTGTTCCGGACTTTACCCCAAGTGAAAAACTTATCGAAGGATCTCTTTTCAGAGCATTCCTCCACACTTGATGCTATTGCAACATTGTATGCTGTCTGCAGAGCTGTAAACTACGGCGTAACGTTTTGTCTGGGTGTTGCCCAGGATGCAGTCTATCAAATTACGTGGGGGGCTAATGGCGCTTTCCACAGAGGTGGAGGTCTCAAGATATCTGCTTCAGAAAATTCTGTCTGAAAAACTGCTGTTGGTGTCATGGTCCATCACATACTGGACTTGCAATCCAGAAGAGATCGCCGATTCGATCTCTAGGCGCGGTAGTTGAAACAATGGTTTCTTAAATAGCTAAACCTCGGTTAGCCGACAGGCAGGTCCGCGTGTGACGGCGTGGGTACACTCTTCCAAGATGTCCGGCTGGTATGGAAGAGTAGGCCAAAATAACCATCTAGAAGAGCTCTCTAGAGCTCTCTCCAGTGGAGGCCCTTCCGCCAGTAGTGGCGTGAGCGAGCAATTGCAGGGCTGCGCCTTTAGCTTTTTTTTTACTCTGGTAACATTTGCTTTGAGCACCAATTTCCTAAAAAAAAAAGATTGTAATTGTCGCATATGAGAAACATTTTCAGACGTTCATAAACGTCTTCATTTTTTGTGTGCTACCTTTTGCGTTTTTACACCTAATGCTTATTGTGGTGAATGTAGCGACCTCCAGTGGTTGGCAGGGGCTGGGGGTGGGTAAGGAACCCATCACATGAAATGCATACGGATCTAAACATTGTAATCGATCATTGCACAGGTGACTTGATGTCTGCAGCGTGAGCTTAAGAATCTATAATAATTACAACCAATAACTTCGTGGCCAGGTAGCTCAGAAGCCAGAGGGCTGAGCTGGTACCGCTCGGTTCGAATCCGGACACCCGCAGTGACCAAAGCGCATTGTTGTCAAGTGGAGCAATTTAATGGTCACAGGCTGCAGGAAATAAAAATAAAAACATCACAATAACTTTGGTTCTACACTTATTCGTCTAAATTCTAGCGATGAGAATTTAAATGATAGTTTTGACTGTCATGCGACGGACGTTGCTTCTCTGATGCAGAATGGGAAAGTGCTGCCCTCTACTGTGTGTGGATCAGAGGCCACGAGAAGGTACAACTCCAAGGTAGCTCTGTGATATCCCCTTCCGCGGGCCGTTCCCCAACACCAAGGCTCGGCACTGCTCTGCAAGAGATCCGAATGGATTCTATGTCTCGTGATGAGACACCATTTCTCACAATCGAGAGATAAAACTGGGGGCAAAGACAATCAATGGGCGGTGTAGTTGAACCCCGCAGTGTACAGCACCCGTAGCCGTATGGTGCTGTCGCCATCTCGCCACAGAGATTGAGGGGTGCATCCTCTCCATCGAAGCTGCACGAGTTTGGCCAGAAGGGGCCCAGCCACCCCCTTGCCACTCCTTCCACTCACTCCCTCTCTCCAGCCGCTCCATCCATCCATCCATGAAATTGATGTTTCTCACCACTCCAAAAGCAAAGTTTGTGGGGAATAATAGCCATTTTCTATACTGTTGAGGCATAAGAAACTCGAAAATAACACACACAGCCAGAACCATCGATACATCGAGGCTCAGGGAGCAGAGGTGGCCATGTTAGTGAGATCCCAGCCTGTTAATGCAGAGGCAACCAACAGGGTAATGCAACTCAGAGAGTCGGAGATAACAGCCAAACGGCAGAAAGGATGGAAGCACCACAGAAAGTTACGACTTTGCTAGGTTAATAACGTCGTTACAATTATTGCTCAGCTTATACCCATCTTCTCGGTTGAAATTGTCTCCGTGTTTATATAGTTCTCCCGTCTTCCAGCATTGAGAGATATTCTTCTTTCCTTGATATGTCCTGCATGTGTTGTGCCTCAGAGGTGGCGACCCCAGAGTGATACTGATGCACCGCACGTTGTTCATGTGGTATCTGCTTTTGTTGGTTAATAAGGTACCCTTCTGTCCATGGCTGTTGCACAGATCCTCACGATGAAGAGGAAGGAGTTGGTCTATGCTTTGCTGCTGAGCGTCACTTTTCACTGTAGCCATGGAGCTACATATCTAGGTAAGAAAAACGTCCCTCCTCATTGCTGTCCACCCATGTAAACACTCATTCATTGGCCAATCACACCTCGATATAGAGAGGACAGCAGAGCTTGGGCAGTTGTTGGCGTCAGCTCATCGCATCGACGCCTTCTTGCATCTCTGTGGTTAGTTTAACATGTGGGCTTTCGTGACCAATATCATCCATAATACAGGTCTTTTATGGGGTTAGATCGCGTAATAATAAATGTGTCGTTAAACTCACAACCACCCGACACAGCCAATTAGTAAGATTTGTCACGTAAACAGAATAACGAATTGGCATTTTCTGTTTACGTGACAAACCTTACTAATTGGCTGTGGTGGGTGGTGGTGGGTTTAACGACACATTTTTATTTATTTACGTGATCTAACCCCCCCCAAAAAAAACCTGTATTAGAGATATCTGTGGTTGCTCGTGCTTCCGAGTCGTTCTCTCTCGACGAGAGTCAGTAAATCCTGTGCATCATATCACAAGTTCAAATAATATTTTAAACGTGCAACGTTAGGCCAACGTTGTTGACATGCGGGTAGCACCTCTAGACCTGCATTGGCCTGACATTGGACAAACGTTGCATTTTTACTGGGTACCTACATGATACATAGCCATTATCGTTGGGATGGGACCACAAGATCAGGACTTGCCAAGTTCCCTCTCTCTACCTCTCATGATGCATGCAAGCCAAGTGTCTGCATCACAGAGTGCAACCGGATCGCTCTCGAAATTGTAAAATTTCGCCTGTGGCTGCTTTATCCATATCTGTGCGAGTAGTTGCGCAACAAGGAAATCAGACGGGGTATTCAAGATTTTAACGGCCAATCATAGCTCACGAATGTGCAGCACATGATGAAATACGCGTTACAAATTATAGAGCAGTTCGACTCTTGATTGTTCAGCATAGTTTGTTTCTACCGTGAGCAGCCAGTTGCACAACTGCTCGCAACTGGTTACATAAACATGAATGTATGCAAGTGATTCAGTTGCATGCAACCAAATTGCGCGACCAATCACTCAGTTGCGGATCCAGCTCAAATGCCACGATATCCAAGGACAATTTTAGGGCAATCGCTGCTCACAAACGTCACCAGCACGAGTGGCCACACCATTTCCCCACGGAGTTCAACTCCTAAAGATGCCCGCAGTAGTTGCGAGGGGACAGCTTCTAGAATAGATGCTCAACACGTGGTCTCCCCTGGAAGACCACACTTGGATTACGAGCAGCTGAGAAAACGTAGGTGCTTAATTGGAAGAAAAAAAACATGTAGTTTCCCAAATGTCGACAAATTTGATTGCTACTCCCCCGAGTAAGAAAACTGGGATGGCAACTTTGCATCACAACCACGGAGGTCACGTGACCACCGAGTGTCGCGTGCTCTGCAGACCAATCACTGTGCATAGACTATGCCTATCGACAACGCCGTCTTTTTTTATCGGCTCCACAAAACTTCGTCACCATGCCACTGCCTTTCCAAGATCTCGTAGGGGATGCATTTCCCATGACATCACCGCAAGTAATCCAGAGAGCTGTCACCATCGCATTTTAAGCCCCCTCGCAAGCATCACATGGTCATCACATGGATACGGGTCGAGGAGCATTCGTTCATCGCCACGTTCACCCCCCACCCCAACCACAGGCAAAAACAAAAAGCGCCCGTAAACATGCACGCATCACAAAGGCACGCGCGCAAACCACACACAGGGACAAGCTCATCGCACGCAAACACAACACAACCGCTCAGCGCCCTTGCCGGCCGTAAGAGTTAATGGACCATTCTTCACCACACTTATCAGTGTCGGTCAATGAATCGGGGCCACCCAGGATAAGTGCAAATATCACTCTGCACTGATATGGCCATGGCCGGGAATCAAACTCAGACCATTGAATTCGTAGCGTAGCGCGTTAACCACTGTGTCTGTGCTCCAAAAGAAATCAGGTATTAGCTATACAAAACACCCATGTTGGTGGTGGTGGTGGCGGCACACGCCTCTAATCAAGCCCTGTAGAGGCGAGGATTGGTGGGTCACACAATAGTTGTGAAACTCCCTTCCCATGGGCGTCGAGGTGCCATACCTTGGCTCGCCAGGAGAGGACAGTGCAGAAAAAAAATGTGGACTCCACTTTTTTCCATCTGCCCCCTTGGCACGCTTGGGGTTTTCTTCGCGTGCTCAAGTTTCCTCCCACGTGTAAGCACTTATTAATTGGCCAATAACACCTGAATATATAGAAGACGGCAAGCGCTTGGGCAAGAGCTAGCAGCAGTTCACCGCATGGCCTGCCTTCTTGCTTGACTGTGCTTTCTCTTTGCACCCCACTCGTTCTCTCTCTTAGAATACTGTGCACGTTACTAGTTGAAATTATGTAATAGACAATATTATCTGGTACAATCAAGAAGATCGTTTACTCGCCTCTCCGGGTTGTTCGTTCCGTCTCCTCTAGGCTCTGCTCTCCACCCCAAAAGTAAAACTTTCAACCACCAGTAGATGAGCTTTCTCTTGCGCAGCCCCATGCAGTCTGGAATATCCTGCCACTCCACATTCGACAAATCAACTCCATCATGTTATTAACATCTGAATTAAATGCCTTTTTATTCATCTAGGCATGTGTTGAAAGATAGGTACAGTAATCACTTTTTGGAAATTTATATAAATGAGTCTTAACTTTTTGGCCACTCCACCAGTCGCCACTCCTGTGAAGGTTTCCTGGCTTGGTTGGGAAGTTGGGATTGTGGTCCGGGATGTGTAGACCTCGTAGACTCAATTCTTTGTTGTGATAACCCGTGTTGTTGCTTGTGCTCTGTGTGTTGTTGCCGTTTCGTAATTTGTTTATTATTTGATTATTTTGCTTGGTAGTAGGTTTATCATTTGCTTGGTGTGTATGTGTGTTGGGCTTCTTTTGCGCCGTGCATAGCCAACCGCGTATATGGGATTTGGTCCTCATATATAATTAATGTACAACATTGTGGGATGCTGTTGGCAGGAATAACACCGCTATATGAAATGAAAGTATTATTATTAACAACGTGAATTCCTGGTTTTGTCACTTTATTTATTTGTTTCAGATCCTCGCTGCCAGGCCAATGGCTACCGGGACATTGGCTTGCCTGGTTATCCAGGACCTCCGGGGCCCCCTGGCTCGAATGGGGTCTGCAGGGCGAATGACTGCAGGGGACAGAAAGGAGACAAAGGAGACCCCGCGCTGGCACAGCCATGCGTGAAGGGAGCAAAGGGCGAGAAGGGAAATTTGGGGTTGATGGGATTCCCTGGCGACAGTGGCTCGACTGGTCCACGTGGACTGCCTGGTCCGCCCGGTTCCCCAGCCGCACCTGGAGAACCTGGACCGCCGGGGGCCAAAGGAGAGAAAGGCACTAAAGGTTGCTCTGGAGCACTTGGAAGTCAAGGTCTGCAAGGTCCTGTTGGTATCCAGGGGCTGCCCGGGCCAAAGGGAGACACGGGTCCGAAGGGCCTTCCCGGAGGGGATGGTATAATGGGACCTCCAGGGACGGAAGGACTAGAGGGAATACAAGGGGACCACGGGGTTCCAGGAGATAGAGGACTGCCAGGTGGTCCAGGCTTGAAAGGGCATCCGGGGAGATCCGGCCCACCTGGAAAGCCGGGTGGCGGAGGGAAGGAAGGGCCTCCCGGCCCCGTGGGTGCTATTGGGCTCCCAGGAAGGCCAGGGCCAGCAGGGATGCAGGGGCCGCTAGGTGTACAGGGGGAGTGTGGACTCTCTGGGCCGCCGGGTAGTTCTGGCTTTCCAGGCCCGAAGGGAGACCCAGGGCCTCAGGGTGACCCAGGAATCCCAGGGCACCCTGGGCCCTGTGGGCCTCCTGGAAAGGGACCATGTGGACCTCCGGGAGAAAGAGGGAATCCAGGAGCATCAGGTATGACGGGACTGATGGGGCTGCCGGGACCACTGGGGCTGGTGGGGCAAGTTGGACCGCCGGGACCGAGAGGTGTGTGCAATGATAACTGCTACTGCCAGCCGGGGCCACCCGGCCTCCCCGGCCCTCCAGGCCCACCCGGCAATAACCACACGCCAAGTCCGTGTCCTCCAGTAACTCCCCAACAACCGCCTATTAGACGTGCTTGTGAAGTAAATTTCTCGTCACATTGTCCTCCGTGTCCCACGCGTCTGACGGGCTCGGGTAGGAAAGCTAGGCGTAAGGCGTTGTCGACGAGTGCACGTGCTTTCTTAAACCATTCCAGATCGTCTTGGCCACCAAAGGTGACCGAGGTGGCGTTTAACCAAAGTCGCGTCGGAGTTGGTGAAAGGCCGAAGCTGAAACGGGCTCAGGGTAAATCCAAGGGCTGCTGTCCGGACTTGGCAGCGTTCACGGTCAAGTCCTCCATGCTAAACCCCCGCGTCCCCTCCCGCATCAAATTTCGGGAGGTCATCTACAACAGGGGAAATCACTACAACAGCACCTCAGGTAAATTCCAGGCCGCCCTCGCCGGCGTGCACAACTTTGCCTACAGCTTTAACAGCGACATGGACGTGTGCGTGGGCCTCTACAAAAACGGCGAGGTCGTCTCCCAAAACTGCAACGGGCCGAAGCAAAGTTGCAGCGTGAACGTCTTTGCTGAGAGCGTCTTGCTGGAGGTGGAAGTGGGCGACAGCGTGTGGCTGGAGCTGTCGTCGCAACGAGAGAACACGCAAGGGGGGGCTGAGAATAAGCTGCAGGCCACATTCTCCGGAGTGCTGGTGTTCATGGGGTCAAGCGTATACAGAGATGGTTACGTTTAAGGTGCGCACACCTTGTGTGCTAGCCACGGGGTCGGCAACCTTTCAAAGAAGAAGAAGAAGCATTTTTGTTTTTGTCTTTGACCAAAATAGTTCCGAGAGCCGCATCACACGCAGAGCTACTTGTACACAAACACAGCAGCAGGTATTCAACAGATGACAATTTTTTACTTAAATAAACTAAATAGGTGATGGAATAAACTGCGCTATTTTAGTTTTCCCCCTTTAGTTATTCTTTAACAATACAGTTTGACTGCACATTTTGTCATCACCAAGACCCATTCCCTGCCATATTTAATAAATTATCTTTCCGTTAAATTATGTTTAAGATTTAATAAAAGATTTAATTAAAAAAACTGCTGCCTACACGGGGGCAGCCGAAAAGCCGCTAGGGGGCATCCAAAGAGCCAGAAGGGAGCAGTCAAAGACCCACAAGGGGGCATCCAAAGAGCAACAAGGAGACAACCAATGAGTCACAAGGGGGCATCCAAAGAGCCACAAGGAGAGAACCAAAGAGTCACAAGGGAGCAGTCAAAGAGCCACAAGGGGGCATCCAAAGAGCCTCAAGGGGGCAGTCAAAGAGCCACAAGGAGACAGCCAAAGTCACAAGGGGGCATCCAAAGAGTCACAAAGGGGCAGTCAAAGACCCACTAGGGGGCAGTCAAAGACCCACTAGGGGGCAGTCAAAGAGCCACGAGCGGCCAGCCAAATGGCCACCGCATGCGGCTCCGGATCCGCCGGTTGCCGACCCCCTGTGCTAACCGGTCCCCAGGAATCATCAACAGCCTTGGGGGTGGTTATACCAAAAGTGCCTCCCCCCTGTCCTTCCAGATGTGTTTTGATCGAAGCAGCCAAAATGACCATCGCCTCCCCCCATCCCCCCGCGTGATGACTCGTGGAAGGAATATATGCTACTGGTGAACCAAAGCATTTGTGTTAACACGTGTTTTGGGTGGTTGTGTATTCACCGGCACGTGTGTTCCTCTTGTGGAAAGTTGCGTTTGTTGCGCTCTTTAAGGAAAAAAGTGATTTTGCAGATTATTTCTCCATAACTTGGAAGTGGCTCAGGCTATTAACCGTCTAACACGACTGCGTGGTGTCACGCGCTGCCCAAAATTGACGTCACCGCAGTGCCGTCAATTATCGATAGGTCGACAGATTCGACGGGCAAACGCACATGTCAGGCTGAAATAAGCGTTAAGTGTTTTTGCCACTAAATATGTCGCCTAATATTTAACTTCGTTTCATAAATACAAGAGTAAAAAATATATATCAATTTTAATCACAGAAATAATGATAGGCCTTTGTTAAACTCAGCTTAAACACAATAATAATCCCATCTTTGGACAGATATTCCATCAGCCTCATGCTGTTCTTTAAATATATACTTTAAATGTAAGTGGTACATTAAAATACTTCATCATTAAATCATCAATCTTGATCTGAAGCTTTCGTGACTGCAGGAATCCATACTCTTTGGTTATTTCGGTAAAGTCATCATTCGTCAAATAAACACGCATGCAATCTATATTTTAATATTGATAAAAAGTTAACTTGCATTATATCAATGTTCTTTTTTTTTCCTACATTAACACATCAGGAGGGTGGCACAGTAGTTTGCACATTGCGCGATTAACCCAGCAACGCGAGTTAGATTCTCAACCGCGACTATCATCAAATGGTGAATTAAACCTTAACCAGCCCTGGGCCTTCCTCTTTACCAACCCGCACTGACTATTACGGTGAAGCAGGGAAGCTGCCATCCAGCAGTGGATTGAAATAGGGTTTGAGAATTATTATTCATAGTGAAGAGTCTTGAGTTAAAAAGACGCTTAAGTTGATTGACGCCTTCACGTTATTCATGTAAGTTCTCGAACTGAGCGTTACATATTATAAACTGCCTCTGCTTTGTATTGGCTTTATTTGCAGGTGTAATAATACTAATGGTGCTAATACGAGTTATACTTGACGGAGAGCTTGTTGCCGCGGGGGATAAACAACGCTCACGATTCACGGTGCACTTCGCAAAAAGTTGACGGGCCGGGCGCTGCTTCCATCCAGCCGAGTCACCTTGGCAGAGAGAGTTGTTTCAAAGATTGCACACGCAGGGGCGGGGGAAGGGGGGTGGTGGTGTGCTCTGCCAGGTGGAAATGGCCAACACGGTGTCACATGGCTTTGAACCCCCTTTAGACCTCTTTTCCACTGTGCAAACCGAGCCACACCGGGGCCATTCCAAGGCAGCTCGACACAGTGGACAGGTCGAGACACTTGTAGATGATGTACTCATGCTGTGTTCGAATAGCACCGACTGACGTCGCATGCAATAAACTCCTGAGCGAGATTCCAACATCGTGTAAGGCCAGCGCACATCACTGTTTGGTTCTGGATCGGGCACAGAACATAGCAAGCGGAAAACAGCCTGTGCTATGTGGGGTCCATGCACTGGCTCGGATGTGCCAGTGGAAAAGGTGTACCGGTGTGAACTGGTGCTATAACATGTACACACACGTATACACGATTCCTACTTAGGGGTGGAACGATTCACCACTACCGGAGAGTCAAAGAATTGTCACAATTCAGGATCGCGGATGGATTCACGAATCCACTTCATTTGAAGCATTGTGGTGAATGGTAGCACCCACCTCAAGTGGCAGCAGACGTTATGTGCACCGATTACATACAATATATATGAATATTAAAAAAGAATATCTTTACACTTGCGATTTAATGCATGTATATCGTGAGCTCATTTCATCTCTTGTCAGCATTTGTTGATTTCGCCCTGTCGATATGAATGATGTTTTCCTTAGAATGTCTGTACGACTTTACAACATATTTTGCCGCTTGATAGGGAAATAAAACGTATATTTTCCCCCAAACTATTTAGCCCAAGTTATTTTATTATGCACAACACTGGGGAGTGCAATGTGTGTGTGTGTGCGTTGCACCATACTGGATTACACCCAAGGATCGTCGGCACATGGATAAGTATCATCTGCACCCGTAAATGAACCCACTTCCTGCCAATCCGCTGATCTCACCACTGACTCCCAATCTTGTTCAGAGTCAACTCAAGGATCAACTCTCACCAACAACTTTAAGATCTAAACCCAGTGCTTTATTTCATCCAGAAAGAGTCCGGAAAGCTGTTCCGGGAATGGATGTTGCACCCAGCCACATCCATTTCGCCTTAGTTTGTCTTCATGTGTATTAACCTGCTCGTAGGATTATATAAATAAAGGGTACAATACTTTAACATAAAATCAGTAAAGATAGGTAAAAGCTTGTACCCTAGTAGTAGTGCCTAAAGCCGATAATCTCTACTGCAAGGCAGCCAGCCTAGCAGCGTTCTGGAAAGTAAATGAGTGAAACATAAACCTCTAAGATGATGTTGATGCCAACGGTTAATGAATGGGATCATGGCATCTCTCTCGCTTGTGTCACTAGGAACTGAGAGTGTGGCACTCGTCTTGAGCTTGGCGCAAGACAGGAGGGACACTACATTGCCCATGTGCACGTCAAGCAGATCGGCTTCAGAAATATGGGGAGCCAATCTGATTTTGGAAAAATATCTCTGCACCGCGCAAAATCTGCTGATTATGGAACGCTCTTAATCTTTGCAACAACAAAAAAAGTTCCACGAACACTGCGGGTGCATTGGACCACGTGCAATTAAAGACGACGTGATATGATCTGAACGAGAGTAGGCCACGTATGCCCGTGTCGCATTTACAATCTGCTAAAGTTGCCCGTAAATGTTTCAATCGGGAAACCACAAAAACCCACACCGCCCCCTGCTGCAAAAACTACCGCAGACTCCGCGTGTGAAGCATTGCGCCTCCATTCGCGATATCCTTGCGCCTTCAATATGTACGCGAATACCAAACTACTGATGATTGTATTTGAAGTGAACATGTACACGTGCGTGTGCGCGTGTGAGTGTCCTGTGACGTCACGACACGGACAGCATTTCCCTTACCTCACGCGCCCGTTCCCCGTGATTGGTCAGCACCTTCAGAGTACACACGTGTTGCACCCAAGCCTGCGGGACGAAACAGAAAGGTAAAGGTTCAGCCCTACAATGTCTTACTCACGCCGCTGCTGGCAGAAGGTCCTCACACGCAAGAGAGAGAGAGGGGCTCTGGAGAACCCGTCTAGAGCAGCGATGGACAACCTAGGCCAGTTAGTGGGCCACGTGATCGGCCCTCCTTCACATCGGTGGGCCACAAGCTTGACACCGTTGCTTGTGCACTAATCGTGACCCCCTACCCCCCACTAGACACACAACCTAGACACACTGAGACAAGGCCACCACCAGGGACTCTACGGGACACAAGCTGCCCACAAACTGGTCTAGACCAGGGGTGGGGAACGTCTGGCCCGCGAAATCATTTGGTGTGGCCCTGCCAAGGCAACCGCCGGCAGGACTCGAAATTCAATAAATCGAGGAGCAAACCTGGAAAAGCAGTTGCGAGTAGCAACATCATCAATACCAGCTAACATCACACGCCTCGCCAATTAAGAGAAGCAGTCCCAGCCCATCACATTAGGGGTGAGTTAATTAAATGTTTGACCAAATATATAGCGGGCTAATTTTTAAGTTGATAATGTTTGTATGGCCCGCGAATGATGGTATAAAACAGGGGTCCTCAAACTACGGCCCGCGGGCCACATGCGGCTCGCCGAGGACATTTATCCGGCCCGCCGGGTGTTTTTGCCGCCGCTGCCTGTCTGTTACTTTTTTTCTGCATGAGAAGGACGGTCATTGGTGGAAGAGGGAGAGGGGGCGGAGTTTCCCCCAATCAGACTGCATTGATGGGCAGTGCAGTCTGTATGTCTCTGTGTGGGCAAAGTTATTACTGGTATATTGTTTTTGTAGCGCTGTATATATTGGTATTTTACTAATATCAATTTTGACTCCCTAGGAAACAATGATGTCAAGAAAGAGAAAAATTGACTCGGAGTGTAGGATATTCAAAGAACAGTGGACTTATGATTACTTTTTCATGCAGTACAAGGAAAGAGCTGTGTGTCTGATATGCCAGAATATAGTGTCTGTGTTCAAAGAATACAATTTACGTCAACACTATAAAACTCAACATAAAGATAAATATGCTTGTTTGGTCGGAGAAGTGAGAAAAGATAAAATATTAAAACTGAAAAATACATTAACAACTCAGCGAAATAGTTTTGTGAAGCAGAAGCAGCTAAATATTTCATCACTGCGAGCAAGTTTTCAAGTTTCCAAGCTAATAGCATGCACTGGCAGACCATTCGTGGAGGGAGAATTTGTTAAAGAATGCCTTCTTTCTGTTGCCAAAGAGATGTGTCCAGAGAAGGCCGATTTATTTAGTACAGTGAGTCTTTTAGGACCTACAATTACACGGAGGATTGAAGAAATGGGAGACAATTTGCATCAGCATTTGCAAAACTCCACAAAAAAACTTTCCTATTTTTCCTTGGCACTCGACGAAAGCAATGATGTTCGTGATTCTGCACAACTTCAAATTTTTATTCGTGCGACGAATGACTATTTCGAAGTCACAGAAGAGCTTGCTGCACTGCAAAGCATCAAAGGAACAACTACAGGAGAGGATATCTTTCGATTTTAAGCTTTCGTGACTGCAGGGATTCATCTTCTTGGTTCTTTCGGTAAAGTCACATAGAAGGGAAGTAATAAAATAATTCTCACGACGTTTCGGCCACAACGCAAGCAGCCGTCCTCAGGTGAAAACCAGGTCTGTTGGGGAGACAGCGTCTGAATGAAACAGCACACGAGCTTGGAGCATATATAAGCTGGGTTGAAAGCGGGGGAAAGAGCGCCTTGACAAAATAATTTCAATATCAAGAGGAATTTAGCATATTTATAGGAAATGCAGGAATGTGATTAGTACTACATATGCCCGTGCTGCATATGTAGTACTAATAACATTCCTGTCACCATGAGCAGCAGTCATGCACACTTGCATCACTTGTTACGACTAGCAGTGACAAATATGGAACCGGACATTGACCATCTCATTAGCCAAAATCAGGCCCATAGTTCCCATTGAAATACTGGCAAGTTTGTTGATTTAACTTTACTTGTTCTTCATTTTAAATATTGTATTTATTCCCGTTTTGTTTCTTCACTTCAAAATAAGATATATGCAGTGTGCATAGGAATTTGTTCATAGTTTTTTTTAAACTATAGTCCGGCCCTCCAACGGTCTGAGGGACAGTGAACTGGCCCCCTGTTTAAAAAGTTTGAGGACCCCTGGTACTAAAACATCCAAATGGTCCTGGGCAGAAAAAAGGTTCCCCACCCCTGGTCTCGTGGGTGCAATGTTGGTGCACTCTTTCACAGTGCTACACTTTACCCCACCACACACGACCTGTTGATCGATTACCTGTGGTTATACCCATCCATGCTGCTGGCTGCACAGACGCAGGGGGGGGGAGGGGGTCTAAGAAACGTGACAATTCTTTCGACGAACGAACCCAGAACCTGAGCCGCAAACCTCTTGGTCGGAAGTCCGGGGCGCTAATCGTCTACACTGCGGCAACATCCCCATTTGGAAATGTTCTAGCTGAGGTTGTTGGTTCAGTGCCTTCTCAATATTTGCGGGTGGCAGAGGAAAACGGTCCTTGGAGGAGCTCCAGTTATTACGAGTGCAACATACTCAAACTTCACAGGTAGGTTAACGACCTACTTGATGTACTGCATCCTACAAGAACCCGGTTATGTTGCAGGTGTGTGTGTGTATGCCACGTGATCCCCGCAAAATGCACCGACACCAACAATCATAGCACTGGAGTCAGGTAATATAAACTCCTTTTAAAAAGTGTTTTTTTAAACAACGGTCTTATTAACAACTTCGTTTAACTCACGGTCGAGAAGTACGTCAATGATGCGTCGCCTGCTCCCACATCAACGCTTACTTTAATTAACTGATGACTTCCTTAACTCGTTGACACGGAGCAGGCGTGGCGCCTGAGACACGTGGCGCCTGCTTCTTGGGCGAGGCGATTCGGGAGTTTAGGGACCGCGGCGTTTTTGACCTACACACAAATAAATATATATAAATAATCAGGCGTCCATACAAAATGTTAATTGCTTTAAAGTAGCGAATTAATTGATTCATTGACGCCGATTGTTATACAGGCACGCATTGTCACCGGATCTGAGTACGTGTGCAACATTTGGAATTGATTGGACAACAGGAAGTAGACTAACTTTTGATGACAAGATTTTACCACGACACAGAAATAAAGTTAAGTAAAACCGTTGAAAAAAAGCATCACGAAGTACAGTACTGTACAATGTCACGTATCTGACTCACTTTGGGACCGGTGGATGTGCGAAACAGTCGGATAAGTGAACGTCTGTAGAAAATAACAACTGCACCACCGTGCACGAATACTGCACTGCGTGTGGCCTGTTACTCGGTCAGGGAGGATATTCGACATTCAGATATGTGATGGTCTGATATGGGGCATTGTGCTGTGGAACCCATGGAAGGGATTTTTAAGACCATCAAAACGATCGTCATAGAAACAGGAATCACAGCTGCGCGAAGGCGACTCGCGTCATTCAATCTTTTTGTTTCTTTGTGTGTTGTGGCTCATGCTCGTTGTCAGCTGACGGCACTCCATCAGAACGAAAGTATGTTACCTATTTGTCACCCCAGATTGTGCAAAATAGCTCGTGTCGATAACGGTCCTGTCCTATTCATGGGCAAGAAGTATGCTGGATATAAAATACCAGATTAGAAAAAGATGCGGGCCCACTCTTACAGCACATACGTTCATGTTCATTGAGCTCTAAAGCCACATGTTCACACACACGCTCATGCTGTTCTTTATTATCCACGCTAGAAATTCAAGATGATTT